CACGCACCTTACAACAGCTGCTCTCATACTGGGGTTTTCTGCTGTTCTGAGAGTTTAATCAGGGACAGCCTTTCTGGCCTTTCTTTTCAACACAACATAAAACACAACACATGCTGCGCCAACATGGGATCCTAACACTTGGTTTAAAACACGCTGTCTTAACACTGACACAAAGTGCAGCATCACTACCTACACACTCAGACACACTGAGAGTAAACAATCATTTTAAGTGCACCACTGTAAGATACCAAACGCTGTGATGATAAAGTTTGGCCTATGCAGTTTCCGCTCCACGGCTGTTGCTTAGTAACTGACAGTGCTCCCTGATCGCTGAAGCACTGGCAATTATAGAGCATTTACCAAATAGCTTGACACTGACACTAATAACTACAGTAATGCACTATCTAATCTAAACTGTGAACATTCTGCTGAGCTGAATTGTTGTAGTTTATTTTATTTTATCACTACTCTGTGACATTAATGTCCTCACTCATTTGCTGCTCACTGGGGGACACTGCTGCAGCTGCAAAAGCCATGGATGCTCAGGTCAAAACAACACAGTGAAAATAATATTCATTCTACTTTATCACTCAGTGAATATCAATTAAATAAATTGCTTGCTTGTACTATGAGCTTAGCATTAGCTGAAGGTGAAGCAGCTGTTCCACAAGTCCCAGAATCTGAGGATCACAGAATACAGTAACACTGGCGGCAGACCAAGGCCGAGCACTTGTTCTTCCGAAGTTATCAACAGTAACATCAGGTTTTACTTTAAAATGTTGTATGCTAGATGAACATTTAAACAAAGAACCTATTGTTCCCCCTTTTACATGACCACCTTTCTGCAAATATCACATTTTGCTGTTGGCTTACTGACTTTGGAGCAGTTAAGTTGGTCTACCAAGTTTCTCAGTCCGATACAGCATCTGTGGTATGTGCTGGAAAAACAAGTGTGACCCATAGACCTCCCACAACTTAAATGATCTGCTGCTAATGTCTTGGTGTCAGATACCAGAGAACACCATTAAAGACCCTGTGAAGCCCATACCTCGACGTTCAGAGGTGTTCTGGTGGCACAAATGGGACCTAAAAATATCAGTAAGCTTGTGTTAATGTTGTGGCTGATCAGTGTATGGAGGTCTTGGTCAATCTATTAACAGCTCATAAATTGCCCCTGAATGTAAAAATGAGAGGAAGCCTAAAATGGCCCTGGCAATCAGGGGCGCTCTTCATTAAAAGCACACTGAAAGCCTCAGTACTGGAGTCAAATTCCACGTGTGTCTGAACACACTTAGCCAAAAAACTGATTCTGATTTTAAGTGTCAACCTTTATTTTTTCCAGTAGGTAATTATTCATGTGTGACTACAGCTGCTGTTCCAACAGGGAAAGGTAAGTTTATGACCACTCTACACTTTCCCAGTGCGCAACAAAACAAGAGTAGCTTTTGTTGATCATTAAACTTCGACAGTAGGTACTGAGAATAAAGCAGTAAAATATGCGGACAATACAAATCCAGTAGAAAACAATATCCTGTTTCAAACAAATGAATCAAAAAACCAACCAGTACTGTAGAGGGGAAAAACACAACAATCAGAGTGGATGATAAACTGGTTGGAAACCAGTAAGACCTGCTGAGTGTGTCCAGCAGTAAATAAAAGAAGTGCGAATCTACTTTAAATTGTTTTAATTAATCTTAGGTGTACAAAATTACTGATATTTTACCAATATATTATTTTTGTTGAGATATTATCAATTTTAGGAAATAAAAAATACTGTATGTAGTTTGACAAAATGTAGGCTAATGAAACTTATTTTCTTTGAGCATAATGAACTCCTGTAAAGTATAACGCAGCCCTGCATGAACCAGTACCCTTGTGAAGTTTAAAATATTTTGTGTCAGAGAAGTGTTTAACTTAAGGTACATTTGAAGCCCTTTCAAACTGACATACAAAAGGAAGAGCAACTTAAAAATTAACATGTCATTTCATCAGTTTTTTTGTAGCTAAACATTTTAGAACAGTCACAATGGTGCCATCTTTTGCAGAGCTACTGCACCAAGCTGCATTGTGGTTTACAGGTGTGCAGGCGACCATCCAGCCAACGCTACAGGTGGTTGTACTGCTGCAATTTAGAGCACATCCAGACTAACTAAAAACATTTCACCATGGTTTCTCCTTTCACACAGAGCATTCTGCAAATATGATAACCCCGAAAATGCATATTTTCAACTAACTGCACAGTAGCTTGTGAAACAATGGAAATTACCTGAGTGTAAGCAGGGTTAGGGAAAATAAAAACCCTGTAAGTGCTGTGTGCAAGACAAATTATGATGTTAGAAGGTTCACTGGCTAAAAGATAAGCACAGCAAACAAAAACTTTAATGCTACTCAGCCAAGATTAAATAAGGTGACTGTTACAGAAAACTTAAAGTACTTTTTTCTGCAGCTAGTCAATGGTGTGTGATGAGTGAATATACTTAAAAAAGAAAAGTGAACTTTGATGATAATATTACTGATAATGAGCATGATTACTCTCCCAAAGGTAGAAACCAAAAAACCAAATCTGTCACCTGCGTTTCCATCAAGAAACAAAATTAAATACAATGCTGCAAGCACTTCAGTGGGTAATTTCTGGGATAAAAATATTCTCCAAATTGTTCTTGGTACCAGAATGAGCTCACTGAATATACCACAGATTAATGTCCCTGTTCTTTCATTTCTAGCTTTGGGATGCTGTTGGTACTGGATGCTGATTGCTAATATCACAAGGTAAAAAGAGGGCATAAAAACATATGGACAGCATTTCAGGGCAGATATGCTCTGAAGCCTTATGGTGTGACAGATTAAGACAGATATAAAGATGATAAGACAGACAAAGAAAAAGGAAGTGGGGGGGGGGAGAAGGAAGGGCATATTAAGAAGAGTAATCAGCAGCAAAATCTGAGTGTGTCTGACTGCCCATACTGTCTCACAGACAATAAAAATACAGATGTGTTCACAATACGAAGCAAAATGTTACATCTTACTTTGTTTTTTCCTGGTGATTACTAATTATTGTGCATTTTAATCATATTATATGGAGAACAAATATAATTCCTGGTACTTTGGAAATATCCACTGAACAGCAACTGAAGTGCCAAATAAACAGGAAACAGTATAGGCTTTCAGACAGCCTAACTTCTACTCTATGGTAGGATATGGCTGACCTCTTTCACTTTTTGCTCCATTTTTAATTCATCATACACACTCAAGCACAAAGGCTCAGGCCACACAAACAGACCCACTACTCTTTTCCTCCCACATACAAACCATATTTGCAGGGTTTAATACTTTAGCAACACAGTTAAGAGTGAGAAACATTAATAAATGTCTTATATTATATTCTACTGTTATAGTGTATAGAGAAAGCTAAACAAAAGATGTTAACATGGATTTAAAATAAAATATGCTATATATCTTTGCAGAAACAACAGGATAATTCATTAATTACCTTAATGCATCATGAATTACAAATTTTAATCATTTAAAATTATTTATCTTTTATTCAGTAAAGAAAGCAAAACACCTGTTAGACAGTTAGGTTACACAACTGAAAAATATGTCCTTCTTTGTTTTCTCTGTATAATGTTAACCTGACAAGTAATTATAGCTGTAAGACAAATGGAGTGGAGTAACATTAGTCACATAAAATGGAAATAGTCAAGTAAAGCACAACTAGGTTAAAAATATAGTTACTTTCCACCACTGATTTTAACTTCAGAGCCCATGGCATGAGTTTCCTTGTTTTCTGACTTATCTACAACGTTACAAATGTGAATTATCATCTTAGACTTTGTCATTGGTGTGAGTTGGCACCGCAGATGGCTGCCTTGTTTCCGTACCGGAAACAAATTCCTTGTGTGTGTAACATATCTGGCCAAATAAGGGTGATTATTATTATGGACTAGACTTGACCTAAAGCTCAAAAATGAGGTGCAAGTATGTTCTAGTATTTCTATGCAGAAGAAACTATGTTTATACACGCCTCGGGAGACTTTTTCCTACTAAAATAAAGTATTACGTGGTAGTTTAAGGATCTCCTTGAATGGGCATAAAATCCAGGCCGTTGCGCGTTCATGTGAGCTTTACCTCCGACATATTGGCAAAATGTTATATTTCCTTGTTTGTTATGTGTATTTTTAATAAAGCCTATTTTTAAAAAAATGACATCGAGTGCCATTATAAAAGCTGATTTTTTCGACTGCGCCTAGTTTTGTGGATAAATTTTCCCTCCTGCTGCTGCACTGTGACCAGAGGATGTGGAGAAAAATACAGGGCCTGAGGTTACTGCATGTCCGGGAATGTTCCGGTACAGGGACTCGCTGTGTTACCTGACAGGGTCTAACCTACAAGAAGCCGGCGGAAGTCCCGCGGAATTTAGTAATCAGCTGATCAACGCTGGGATCCCCCGGAGCACAGTACCTGTTTGTGGCCAGCGTGTCTGCCGTATGTGATATGTTGCTGGTTAACAATCCGTGATGTTATAGTCGGTGCTACCCTACCTATTGGAATTAGTTTCACTACTTTGTGACGGTATGTGGTTGGATTTACCGACCTTGGAGCTACTTGAAAGGGAGTGATGTTTCCACTACTCGGTGGGACTTAACGCTAAGTTAAAAAACAAACAAACACACAAAAAACCCACGTTGCATGTCTGTTAATGCTTGTTTCTGTAATGTAAGAGAGAACTACTGTAAGGTTGGATAAGTTACTATGTCAGCATTATGCTAGTTAAAATATGGGGTTTCTCAACTACCCGCTTTGTTTGGAGTGTTGCACATCTCTTTTCATCGGTACATGTATCCTTGTTTAGCTATTTATGAAGGAGAAATTCGTATGAATTCATCCTGTCGCAATTGGTTGTGCTGTCCACCTGCGACACAACACCGGCAACAGAAGGTGTGCGCGTTCACGAAGTATCCTTTCGTTTTAAGGAAGAGGCTTTCTGTTGTTAAAATTCGGGAAAAAATAGACTATTTGGAGTTATGAGGGGTGCCAAGATAATCTAGAGTTACCAAAGATTAAACATTAAATGGCTGAAAACAAGCAAAATAATCATACCATGGGCACTCTATGATGAGTAATTGCTGGTATATTTGCTAGTCGCCAAAGTTAGCTATAGCTTCAGAGATTAATCGAACAAGCTAATAAAAAAACTCTTTAATTTCGATTTATTTTCTTATAACTGTGTAGAAAGCTAATGTATCTAGCTGCCATCTAATGTAATAAAAACACTAGTTAACATAGGTTTTACACAACGGACTGGTTTGACCAAACAGTCGTTAACATCACATTACAGCCGAATCTGTATTGTATGTTTTGATTTTTGGTGAAGCAGAGACGACGCCCGACGTTAGCTTAGCGATATTAGCTTAGCCAGCAGCAGCCGCCATTACCAGCTGAGGTTGGCTAGCAGCTATTAACGCTACTGGAGGTCTGGAGATGCACAGATATCATCCCAGGGGCTGAATTTGATCGCTTTTGTCTTTTTGCTGTGCTTTATGATTGACACGTTCTGCCATACTGATCACAGAACGACCAAAAATCAGTTTACACCGTAAAAGTAGTGGGTAGCTTTACCGCAAGCTAACAGGCAGCTTGTGGCTTACAGTGTCCCCATCCTGTTTCTAGGAATGCTGAGCGAGGTAGGGACACATTCAGGTTAACGTTCAATGTTTATCGTTACTGACACACATTCACATGTTTGAAATTACATTATTAACAGTGGCCAACACACTAATTATTGGGGATGCATTAATCTAGCTACTGATAAGGTCAGAGTAACAGTACTAGCTAATCAAACATTCATACGGTCTCACTAACGTTAACAGTGAGACTTGTATGGGGGAGTAGGTGCAGATGTTTTTCATATCATCAAATTTGTTAACAGTGCTAAGTCGGTATTGAAGATATAACGGTGTGTGTGCGCGAACCTTTTTGATATTGTAAACACGGGTCAACATCCCGATGCCTCTGTCGTTAAGGATGGTGAGTTTTTCTGCCAGTTTCTGCTGGCTGGGCTGGATCACTCCCCGAGACATCTTCGCGCTGTTCGATTAAATCTCCAATTCACTGCAGAAAAAAGATCACAAATCTCCGCAGCGTCTGATTTGTAAATGGAAGAAAAGGAGACGCTGTGATTTATGTAGCTATTAGATGTCGCCCATGTTCAGATATTCTGGGACGGCAGCTTCCTGTACTCCACCCCACTGTCTCCCTGCCTGCTTTTTTTTTTTTTTTCGGTCACAGGGATAAGGATGTGTCCTGGTTTTCACAACGAGGCTGCCTCCTGTTGCGTTCATGTGAACCTCGTTAATAGTACCTCTCCGTGCTTGATGGCATATTCAAATTTTAATGGAGAGATGTGTGTGCCTGATGTTCATATTTACCTTTACCGATCAGGAACAATTGTCGGGGCGTTAGATATATTAGGCAGTAAGTGAGCTTGATATCCCAGAACACCTTGAGGGAATATATTCAGTTATAATGATTTCCATATCGTTTATTAAATTCCTTCAAAGTCGTCACCGTATTATGTGTATGAACATGTAAATTGCAACTTTACTGGTTGGCAGAGGCATACAACCTCAAGGTGGTTGTGAGTCACGTTTGTATATTTGGGTGAATTGTTGTTTTCTCTATGATGTCTTCATTCTTTGTTGCACCATTAATTTTTCAGCATTCACCATTTGTTAATACATAAATGAAAATTAACAACAATCAGACACACATTGAAGCAGTCGGCCATTGGTGCATTTGCACCCATTTCATTTACAATTTTACTATGAGTATTCGAACACATCATATTGTTGACGTAGCTTCCTCCTGTGCTGTTTGTGATCCAGCTGTGCCCGTGTTACCCACACGTTTTGTCCAGTATTAAATACTAAAGAAGTAGCTGTTTCAAATGTGGGATTAAAGCAGCGATGATCTAATTCTTTGCGGGAATTTTCTTGAATTCACACTATTTAGCCTAGACCAGGTGGGTGCACGAAGCAGGAAGACTACAACTAAAGCTCCGAGAATTTGTTCGGAGTCAGCCATTGTCAGTGATTGAAGAAGTGCTCAGATGTTTTGCTTAAGAAGAAGTACTACTATCACAGTGTAGAAGTACCATTGGAATCAAAATATACATAAGGTAGTTAGAAACGACTCGTTTTTTGCAGAATGCATCATTTAAGTCTTATGGATATTATTGCATTCACTGATGATTTGTATGCTAAATTACTTTAATGTTGTAGCCGGTGATTTAATAGACTAATTTTAGTCTATTGTGTAGGTATTGCACTCAAAACTCTAGGGAGGTGTTTTCAACTGCACAAGTCTTAATGACTGTAGACAGCGAACAAAGACAAATACTTGCAGAGAGGTCTCGTAACCGTATGAACTACACTAGGGTATTGTGTAGTCTAGATGGTGCATTCTCCCCAGCAATCAATAAAGTCTTATCTTAACCAATAGCCTATAATTGATTTGTTAATTATGTTTTGAAGCTGCAAAATAACTAACTTTTAGGACAGGAAAAAGTACAATATTTTCCTCTGAAATGTAGTGGGCTATGTATAATCTAGCAGAAAATGGAAATATTAAGGGAAAGTACAAATGCTCTATAATTATACTTAAGCATAGTAAATGTACATATTAAATATACTTTCCACTAGTGGCCATACCTTAATGCCCACTTTACAATTTAAGATTTCATATTTTGCACATAATGTCAGTCAGCCTTGAGAGCAAAAGCCTCAAGAAGTTAGGTGCATCTGTTTTTGTTCACCTGTTAGGCTCTCATAAAATTGCATAAACTCACCATATATACTGTAAACAGAAAGGTTTAGAAATCACAGTTCCTCTGAAAAAAAGATAATTAACTTGGTATGTTTTGGTTCTTGCTTGTCTCTTCTGGGGCATACATTATAGTGTCACACCATTTATTTACCTCTTCATCACAGGATATAAACAAATATTTGATTTAATCTAATGCTTCCTCTAATGAGCTTTGGTTTGTTTCAGCTCAGCATTGTAAACCCTGGTGTGATGCATTCAGTGACTCAGGAGATCCAGGGATTCTCCAGAAACTGTCTGAAAAAACAGGTCACACGTGTTACCACGGTGACGGGCAGGCATCTGCTGGAGAGGAGGAGTGATGGAGGAGAGGTGGAGCAGATTGAAGAGCTGGACCAGGGAAGTGGATGTGGATTTGTAGAGGATAAAAGTCTGGACCTTCACGTCGGTGTTGTCAGACCCTTTCTACTCCTGGGTAAGAGAAAACTACTTACTAATTACTGTTACTAATACTGAGGGTAGACTTTAGGTTTTCTTAGCATGAATGTACCCCCCCACACTCTACACTTCACTTGTATACTTTTACTGTTACTATCTGCTGCTGCCACCTACTGTACTTAACCCACTATAACTATTACTACCATTGCTATACCATTGTAATTACTACTACTTTTACTATCACTACTACCACTGTTACAACCGTTACCAATATTACAGCTACTACTACTATTACTACTACTACTGCAACTACTTATGCCACTTTTTGAGCAATACTACAAAGACTGCTACTTCTGCATCTACAACTACATCAGATAAACTACTACTGCTACCTCTGCAACTGTTACCTCAACTAAAACTCGTACAACTGCTTCAACACATGTTTATGGCAGCGCAGTGTCAGTTACAGTGGCAAAGCACAGTATAAGTTTCATCCACCAAGGCACTAGGTCACAGTTTGTTTCTAACAATAAATAAATAAATTCCCAATAATGCATAAATCAATGTCACTTATTTTGAACTCATCTCAGGGGCCTGGCGATCCACCCTTCAGCTGGAGAACGCAGGCTGACACCCACACATGTCAGCATGTCTCTGTCCTGCTGAGGTGTCCTTGAGCCTGACATTGAGCCTCCTCACAGCTCTGGGGTGCTGTTTGCTCCTGTAGTAAATGCTGCGCTTTGACCCCACTGCTGGACAGAATCAAAGAGAGAATTTCTCAGCAGGGATCAATAAAATATTGCATCTGTTAGGCTCAACAGAGGTGACTCTTCTCTGTAGCGTGCTTCAGTTCTACTATAATCACATGAAACTCCTGTTCATTTCCCAAAATAAAACTGAGTCATTCTCTGTAACAGCTGCACCTTTAACTCCGGGGCTCTTGGACACCACCCACGGTGACATCAGCCTTCTGTGACACCTCACAGGATCAGTGCTTTGAAAGGTTGACAACCTTTTCTGATACTGTTGGAAATACCTCTTTGTGATTCTCTAACAGTCCGCCATTGGACAACAGAGACAATTTTTGATTTGATTATTTTTTCTTTTGTTCAAGCCCATTTTAGGCTCCCATTCAACTTGACAAGCAGCCCTTTTTCTGTGTTCAGAGGAAAGGAAAAGCCTAAAGAAGAGCTCATCTTTGTTCAGATTGTTTCTCACATAGTTGTTTGTTTTAACATCAGGACAGGTTTTTGATCCATTTCTTATACTTCTGAAGGGTCTCTCCTGAGACATGATGTCTTCTTCTCTCACTCTGAGTCTATTGTAAGCTCTTAAAATGTTCCTCACACTTATAAAATACAAAATGCAGGTTATATTTTGAGACTTTGTTGTCTTACTCAAAGCAAAGCAAACAGATTTGTCTCCTGTTGTTTCACTATAAATCTTCTGGTCCCCTGCATTTTATTTATTTATTTTTTTTACAGATGTGTCAGATCTTTCCTTTCTCCTGATGGGTCGGATCAGACTTATTTCCAAAGACACTCTATCTTTTGGATTTAGATTTACTTCTCCACACCATGAATGTGACATTATTTGAAAGAGACTAATGCAAAGAGTGTAAATGTTGCTGCTTTGAAGCCACTGAGCTGCTGCAGAATATCCACTGTGGAAATCTTGGGGAAACCTTTTCCTCATATTCTCTTTCCTCCCCATATGTGTCTTACACATAATGGTCCAGCTCCTGCTATTTAAGATGGCTGTCTTCTCATTCTGCTATAACTGTCTCCTTCACTGATTATCCACTTAGTCAGAACTGTTGCTCGCGGTGGCTTACTTTTTTATTTCCTCCATTCGTTTTTGCTGTTGTTATGAAAATGCCATTGCTCACTCTTTTCATGAAAATCATAAAATTCCTTCTCTGCAGCTGTGGATAATATTGAATGTTTATTTAAACTGTTTTTAAGCCTTGTTTAGTGGCGCTATATAAATCACTGGTTTGTTCTTGCTTTTCTGTAGCTTCTACTGATTGATCTCTTCCTTCATTGGTGCTGCAGCTGTTCAGTGTTTTCCTGCTAGACGATATAGATGTTGATATCCTGTAGCTTTTACTTTGTGCTGCTGAAGTTTTGTATCACTGTCTTGACTGATTTATGTGGGATCAGGCAGCTCTCTTTATAGGACACTGAGTGTTCCCTGGTTCATGTTGTTATGAATAAGGCTACAACTAAGGGGTATAGTATTTCCATTATCACTTCATCTACTAAATATTGTTATTATTATGTTCTTTTTATTGTAGCACAAAACACAGGGCATGGAAAACAAAATAATTTAAACTGGATATTACACAGAACAGAGGGGTATAAATGAGCGTACACATGTTTTACATGTGATTTGTGTGCATGAGGGTGTGTTGTATGGGTGTCTAAAGGTTTGGGTATGTGTGAGACAGGTATACAACTAATACAGACTGGGTATTGGGGGGATACTGTAGTGTGTTCATCCCGAGCACTGATTTAAAAGATTGACAGCTAAAATGGCTTCTGATTAATTTTCTGATGATGTACTAATTGATTATTTGCTTCTGTACTAATTTTTAGCGTTTTTAACTGAACCATTAGCATTGGCATCTTAATCACTGCACTGACAGTACTGCACTGCTAATATTCTGTAATATCCTGCCCTGTAACAGTCCTGTGAAAAAGGAGGAAATGGCAGAATTTGATCATTTTATAGCTGGTCAATAATGTCAGCCTTCAGGAAGCATTTTGGTAAGCGGAGGCATGCCTCTCTGTCTGTTTTCTCATCGAGTTGTTTCTGTGTTTTCAGCCTCTCAGGATGCAGCCCACGACATTGACACCCTGCAAAGATATAAGGTCAGTACAGAGGGATCAATAGGATGGGCGTGCCCTTAACTTGTTGTGATCGCCTTTGTAGTGACACAAGATTAGAGACAGCCACGTAGGTGTGCTCTCCTGCAAGTCGGCAACAAGCAGCCAATAGCCCGAGGAGCTTCGTGACTCATGCAGTAACACTTTAGCTCAGTAGAGGGAGTAAATGATTACAGTAAGTCTCAGTGTTGCTCCTCCACTTCAAAGAAATGTGACTACTCTTCTCTGCAGTGGCTGCTCCCAGGCGTGAGCACATTGCTGCATGTGCAGTCTTGGGATGATGAATTGGAGAGATTACAAATGCCTTCACTTCCTGTTTCAGAGATAAAACCTTGACTGTGTAATGATCAAACCAACCAACAGTCCCCAGATAACAAGTAAAGCACAGAAGACTTGACAGAGGGACCAAAGGATCCTTTTCTTACCAGTTGAACATTTAATAAACATTTATTAATAAATAAACATTAATAATAATAATGAAAATGCTGTAGGTGAAGGTGAGGAAATCAAATCTCTAATCAAGACAGTCAGTGCTTAATTAGTACACTTATAAGCACATTAGTATCCCAGTTTTGTTGTCCAATTCAGGTTGTGTCATATCTCTGTGTTAGTGCATCTCCCTCCTTATATGATTCCTGTTTTATCCAGTTTTCCGATCATTTGCATCAGTGCAGGTTTGAGCTGCTGCCTGACATCTGCTGCACTCTGCTGGATTTAGCTTCTTCATCTAATCTTTAGTAATAGATGAAAAGAGCAACAAACAGATTTATCATCTGCCTTGTGGAAGTCAGACATTCACTTGTATTTCAGAAGGTGAAAATTAAGGTGAACGTTATCAGCAACACGGTTAAGATGCTGATATTTCACAGTATGCAGATTTCTATCAGGGTACTCCAGCTAGCATAACCAGGTTTCTCAAGATATGGATAACAAAAATATCCCATATACTATTTTATGTCATTTTATTCTACGTTTTGGTTGTCTAACATCTGGCCAGGAACAACAAGATGAAAATTAGCTTCATAGGTTAACTCTGGCTCATTTTCAGTTCTTTTTTCTGTGGATCAATGAGCATCATCCCTGTTAAACCACTGAAATAAAATCAATATATTACTGTTTGTTTTTTCATCGTAATTGAATCAGTGCTTTTGTGTGGGACTATTTTCAACCGAGGATCAATGCACATTTAGCGTGCTAATGAGTATTTCCAGCATAAGGGTGGTGTGCATGTGGGATTGAGTCAGAATAAACTAGTGTTTGTGCTCATGGTATTAAAGGCACATGCCACCCGGTTCAACAGTGTGCTTACTTGTTAGGAGGATTAATGGGATTTGTCAGTAAGTAAAATATGGAATATCACCACACTTATCTTTGAACATGCAGAAAAAGAAACATTTGATGTTGCAAGCACTGTAAAACAAGACACACTAGAACAATGCTAAGCTTTAGAGCAGGAGAGAATTAAGCCCTCTGAGCTAACCTGAATTTAAGTGAGAGTAGACAGATGAAGCAAAATGAATAGGAGCTATTTGTGTTCTTTCTTGTTTCCCCCTCTCCCTCTTTGTCTACTACTCTTTTCTCTTCATCTCTCTTCCCCCCCCTCCCCGTAAACCTTCTTTTTTCCTTCTCACTGTCTTTGCGCCCTCTCTCTGTCACGTTCAGGCAGTGTCATGTCATCAATATGGCTGACAGACAGAATATCTCTCTTCCTTGCCGCAGCTGAAACAGCCTTTAAAACAAGTCAGGGCTCAAGGGTCATTTACTAAAGGAGTGTTATGTCTATCATCCCCCCTCCCTTCCTCGTCTCTGTCAGGTGTCTCATGTGCTAAATGTGGCCTATGGAGTCAGCAACCTTTTTTCAGATCAGCTGGTGTATAAGACGCTCCAGATCCTGGACCTCCCAGACACCAACATCACTTCATACCTCGAGGAGTGCAGCGCTTTCATAGATCAGGCTCGAGAACAGGTACACACGCAATTACAGGTAGCATATAATTATCCACTTGTACACATACCTGAAGAGATAGAGGAAGAATTTACACTTAAGTAGAGGAGCAGAACTTTAATGTGAAATACTCCTTTATGGGACACAGATTTTGTTACCTTCGCACAGAGCCAGGCTAGTGGTTTCATTATGCTAAGTTAAGCTAATTAACCACTGGCTGTATCTTCATATTTAGCATGTAGACATGAGAGGTATCAGTCTTGTCACCTAAATTGAAAGCAAATAAGTGTATTTTATTTATTTTAAAATAAATTACACTAATCCATTAAGTTAGAGTATCATCAGTACTTTCACCAAAATGTACCTAAACTTAATAACAAGCAAGAACAGCCATCACATCACTGTAGTGAGTAAAAGAGTATTTCTTTCTCACATCAGAGTTTTATGGTTTTCCAAATGCATCAAATCTATTTAGACCTGTCAGGAGGCTTATGTAACCTAAAATGCCTTCTTTTATGTCTGCCAGCTAATTTAACATGTCAGTGTGCACACAGCTCCTCTGCTACCCCACTGTGATGCATTCACACACATCTACAGCAGTCATTTATCTGTAACTGAGCACAAAGGCCAGGTGGGTGGTCAGTACACCTATTAAAAGACCATGCTGGGGTCATTTAATGTAAAATGTCAGAATGTTTCTCTGCTTACACTCAGTTTCCTCTCAGTCCTTTTGCCTGCTATATGTAATACTTTTTACAGGGGATTATTTCCTGGCAGAGACGTGTGTTTCCTCCTCGGCACAACATAATGTGATGCGAGCACTTGATACAAAAACACTCAACCTGAGCACAGTGAAATAACAGCAAAACAAGAAACTCTGACAAAACCAAATTAAAGCTCCATGCTTGTTGTGATGGATTATCTTGCTCAGGCAGTTTTCAGTCTGTAGAAGTTTTCTGTTTTGCTTTGTTTTCTGGAGGAAGGAAAACAAGTCCTGATATGTAACTGTACAGACTGCAGACACCAGCACAATTATTACAAAGGTGCAGAGAAACCTTTTAGATTGACAGAAGCGTATTTAACAAAAATGCAGAGAAACCTTTTAGATTGACAGAATCATATTTAACCAAATACTAATATCCCCTGTGTTCTCTGTTTGATTGTGTTTTATCCAGAGGAGCAGCCTGATTGGGTTATGATGACAGTGCTAACTGTCAGTTACACCAACCAATGCACTGTACGTGTGTTCAGCCAATTTAAATAACCTGTCCCTCAATCAATAAAATCCAAAATGTGCTTATAAGTTTCTGTTCTGCTCAATTTCAGCTTGAACAGAGGCTTGATTCTGCGACGGTGAATAAAAGAGGCTAATGTCCCACTACACTGAGCTTCAGAGCCGAGCCGAGGGCCTGCACGCGTTGTCTAAAGATGTGGCTGGAATTTCAAAATTTTATTGCCAGTCAGGCACTCTAGGCAATAAAATAATTACATGAACATTAATATTAATCATATCACAAATTTTGACACAGACACAGCCACAGAGATTTATTCCTGCTCAGCTTGCTCTACATGCTCTAATGCTGCTGTTGGGGATGTTGGAAAGTCAGAATTACAGAGTTTCAGAAAAATGCATTGAAATCTGTCATATCACCATGGTGAATACTACATTTACAGTTTTTAGAACAGGTTTATAATTTTTAAACAACAAAAAAATCACTCACTTGAGTGGTATGTGGGCATTTGCAGTATATAGTCACGTTGTGATGGGCTACATTATTGATATCAACCTCTGACACAGCTGCTACAAGGGAATTTTGTTTGTGCGGGTCAATTTTCAAATTATATTTTAAAAGCAGTAGTGAGCATTTCTTCTGCAGAAAGTCATCTGCAGGAAAAGTGTTCACACTGAGGTCTGAAACAGTTTGGGTAACCATGACATTGTTTCTAGTAGGAATGATCCGTGGTTGATTTGTTTTTTAAATGTCACTTTTCAATGTTTTGAGCACAAGTCCTTTTGCCTCTATTTTACTGGAGTGGCAGCAGAAATTGTAGGTTTTTTCAAAACATCAGCAGATAAAACCAGTATAAAACCAGTATTTCTTTAAATTTGGATTAACTCACCCTTTAAACCCACCAAATGCCAGTGTGGTAAAGCTCATAGCTGCATTCAGTTACATTTTATTGCTAACTGGTATATTATTGTTTTGCAAAAGTGCATGAGAAACATGAATGAATGTTGAGCCAACCTATGTTTCTTTTTTTTCCCCCTAACATTTAACTGAACACATATGGAAGCGGCCCAGATCTGATCTCTGATCTGGTTTGATCACACATCAGATCTTGTTTTATATCACAACAGTGTCAAGATGACAGTTTCAACCACAACATGTCATTTACATTCAACCTGGTGCACTACAGTTTATAGTGGATCTTTTGACAGTAGGAGATTACACCCACTGATGTTTTGAACGTGCCAGACATCCAACTGCCTAACAGCCTAACTGTTGATCATCCTGGTAATTTACGGGGTGTTATCACCACAGGTGTAATAACAACTGAATCCAGCTGAAGGTTAGTTCTGTTCTAAGCTTAGCTGGATCCATGGAGGTGCCCAACCTCACTGTTTTCCTGTCTCACACTCACTTTCTCTCTCTATAGGAGGGTGTGGTGCTTGTCCACTGTAACGCCGGCGTGTCACGTTCTTCTTCTATCGTGATTGGCTACCTAATGTTGAGGGAGGGGCTGTCATTTGATGATGCATACAGCCAGGTGAAGCTGGCAAGACCCTCAGTTCGCCCCAACGCCGGCTTCTATCAGCAGCTACAGAGCTACCAACCATAGGGCACTACACATCCACTTTTACTTATAAAATATGTGGTAAAGGACAATAACACTATACTCCCAGTAGACCTCCAACCCATGAACATCTTAGATTGGCTCTTTGTCATCTGGTAAAATATGTCTTCAAAAATATTCTTTTTCATGGTTTGATTTTTGTTGTGGAGATCGTATGTTTGACGTTCTTGGTTTTGGAGGCACTTCTTTTCTTTGCAGTATTGATAGTTATCTATTTAAAGACAGCAGTGATCCTGAGGTTTAACTTTTTAGTTTTGTTTTTTTACAAATATACAGACAGGTACAGCATCATTTATACCCACTGCCCTCACTCTCCAGAGTTGCTAACCTCGCTCCTTTTTAAAGTATTGCTTGTAACTGGCGTGTTAGACAACGAGGGAGAATCCAGCCGACTCACATGCTAATCAACAAATAGCACTCCTGTGTTACCAACTAAACAAGAGACCACTGAGCTGTCAGTGTTATTTTTATTCCTATATTTTGCATGCTAACAGATTACCTTTTTAAAAGTAATTTATTATATAACATATAATACCTTTAAACACTTGTGCTCTCAGTAGATCTTGTTTGTGCCCTTTGTGTCAGTTGCAGACTACTGTCACACAGGGGAAGCATACAGATGGAGGCTGGTTCTGTGCCAGAAACTTGAATGAGGAGATAAGTTCTGCCAAATTGGTTGCAATTCCTACTGGTCCTATAAAGGTCATAGATTATTTAACACCCCTTTAAAGCCATGGACTGATTACAAAGAACAGGTCTTTGTCACTGTTATTAACTGAATATTTGGGGTTAAAGGCTTAGTTTTTCCAAGTAAATGCACACTACTGTCCAGTAAATACATTTATAGCTCTGCTTGTTATAGTCTTAAGTCTTGAAAAACAGGCAAATTAAGTATTGAACCAGTGTCTGACGAATGGCAACAGTGCCAATATGCAGTCTGTGACAGCACTCGGGTGTAGGGGAGTTTGGCCTTTTCTTTGGTCTTGTTCAATGGAGTATCTACTATGAAGCCAACTGGGCCTCCCCTGACATTTTTGTGACATTTTACTGTCTGGGTGTGACGGCCCGCTGTATGGCACAAGCTGTCCCATCTGCAGGGTCTCATGGGGTCCAACCACCATCTCAGTTTGTGCAGACCTGAGTATAAGAATGTTAACAAACGGGGAGAGCTGGGTTACATACAGGAGCAAGTGAATAATTTCCCCCTAAAGCAGAACAATGTTATCAGGCCTGACTGTTTCATTGCATTTGA